GGTCATTCTAGTTGTTGTGGTGGTCACTCAGATATTTCCTGGCGTAGCAGAAAATAGTAATTAAAACTAAAAAATAACAATCATGAATTCAGTGCTAGCATGCGAGACATTCTCACCACTTTAAATTCTTTCTGGATCATTTTGAGGTCAGCAGTTTACACCCAGTAGCTAAGACTAAGGAATCCCTTCCGTTCTACGGAGGGGAGCAATGGCACTTGACTAGAGTGAGGTTACAGGTAGTGGTTGTAAAGGTGATGTTGGGGTGATTTAATGAGAAAGGGATTCAGAAAGTAATTTATTGGAAAGGTGCTGTATTGAGAAGTGAGTAAAAGGGGGAGAATAAAGGTGAAACATACCCCATGGAATATGGTTTGTGAAGTAACATATGACAGGCAAGAACTTGTCTGGAGATGTCCAGTGGAGGACGTGGCACACAAGAAACCATCTGTTTTCCTGTTTGGTGGTGATACAACTCGAGTAGCCCCTAACATAATTACTCTTAGGCCTAGCTGATTCTTGCTTGTCTTGCAGCACTGAGGGTTTGTGCCATTTGACAGTAAGGAGGGAGGACAGATGGACTGAAAAAGAATCTGTTTCATAGCGTTTTGGTTTTTTTTTTTTTTTGGTAAAAGGAATTTGGAGAATGCTAGGATGTCACTGGCACAAATCAAAGGTAGAGAATCTGGACTGCTGAAGTCAGTCCTCAGACTGCAGAAATGATCATGATGCCACAACCTTAAAGGCAGATGCAAAATGCTTAGTAAAAGTTTATGCTGGCTTTGGTTTGCATTTGTTGAATCATGTCTATGTGGATTTCATTTGGTTAGCGCCTACTACTGGGGAGTTCTGAACCATGGTGAGCCCTTCAATTATTTTCCACATTTTTTTTTTTAAAGAAAACAAATTCAGCATGACATTCTGCTTCCCAAACCTACAAGAAAAGTAATTTTTCACTGGTTTGCAACTTACCAGCGAAAATGAGAGCAGTGTTTCCAGTGAACTAGAAAGTAATGGAATTTTGTTTATGAATAAAGAGAACTTTAATCCATTTGTTTCTTCCTCTATGAAGGTCCTGTAGACCAGACTGTCAATTCAGCTGCATCTGTGCACTTCCAAGATGTTTTCTTAAGCGTAACATCACTGGTAGGTTACCGGGGAGATCTTGGCTCACTGGTAGAAATTGAATTTCTCTATGGAGGTACAAATTTAATGTTTCACTGCTCACTTTTGTTGCAGCATTAATAGGTGACAAGTAAGAACAACTTACTGGTTTATTTAGCATATACATCTTTGAACAAACAGTAAAGTTTCATTTAGAAAATGCTTGTTTGTATATGTCTATTTTAAAGTAGAATGGCCCCTTCTATAAGGAATATAGCTGTAATACAGCTGCCCACGTACAGCCTGCACAGGTTATGTTAGATCCAGCTTGGGCCAGGCTAAATGATGGGTATAAATCAGTGCTTCAGTAGTGTAGTTTGAACATTGCTTTCTCTGTAGCTAACAAAGATCTCCTTTAAAAGAAAGATTGGGGCGGGTGGGGGAGGCAGAGAAATAATACTCTGACTTTAAGTACCGTGCCATCTGTTTCTGTTTTCTGTTGCTGGTATCACTGCATTTTGGGAAGTGGACCAATGTAGAGTCTGGGTGGTGTCATCTCCCTCCTCCATCCCCTCAGTCTTTTCAAATCATATCTCAAGAACTGGGGAGAGGGAGGTACATACTGCTCTCCTCATCATTTAAATGTTACCTTTCTGTAGGATGAAGGTCATGAGAGACTGCTTTCTCCTTAGGAATTGTAAGCAGAGCTTGCTCCCCTTTGAGATGCTTTACAGCTGTGAAGCACAGCTGGGTGTTAGGAATGGATGCTGCCTGAGATTTAACACTACTGCAGCTTGGCTGTTTACAGACATATCTGAGTTGTCCCTCACTCTGTGAAAATATACCATGCTGCTGTGTATGTGGAGAGTTAAGTTCTTCATACACAGTGGTATTTTGAAATTCAAAGACTTCCTAAAAGTCAGGGGTTTGACATTGTGATGAGATTGACGTTTAAGGCTTTTCAAAATTTCTTTAAAAAAAAACAACAGGTTTTTTTACCCATGTTATAAGATTTTTTTTTTTTTTTCTCCCTTCCCATTCCATAGCACCTCCTGGGTCTGCAGCAGCAGGTAGCCTGTTAGGCTACCTCTAAAGCTGTACTTACATCAATTGCTGATGCTGGTGCACAAACAAAGATGAACTGTTTTGGTAAGACAAGGCTCCATTGAAGTTGCTGCTAATAAGCAAACCAGCTCTGTTCACTTCAGTCCCATTCAAAACACAGGAAAAGGATCAATCTTTGCCAAACTTGAAAGGCTGAAACTATTGCGGAGGATAAAAATGATTTACTTCAAGTGGGTGTAAAACATATTTTCAAAATAAACACTGAAACCGCACTTGACTCTTACCACATATATTAATCATATTCTGTGTGGGCATGAAATAGAGAAAGTGTTCAGCTTTGTATTCCTTCGTTTTATTAGTTTTTATTATTTATAGTGCGGGTTTGTTCTAACTAGCATTTAACACAAGCAAGAAGTGCTGCTTAAGTACCAGCTTAAATGCCAGATACGATGTGACTTCTCACTGTGAAGTGTTCCTCTGTGGTAGCTTAGTTTACTCTTAGCAAAAGGACTTGCCTCTTTTAGTATTTCCCTAATGCTTAAGTAAAAACAAACCTCAAAACCCTAAAGTAGTTGTAGATGGCATTCATTTGACTATATGTTTTTTAAACTGTTGTACCTACACGTCTATTAAACGGAACCTTATACTAATCCTTGCAGGACTGCAATAGCCTTTTGTTTCTGTAGTAAATTGTTTTCCTAGTTTAGTGTGCTTGAGCGCTCCGGTGCTGTTGTGTTTATTTGCTTTTTAAGCACAGCTCCATGATATAAGGGGTGATTCTTCTGGTAAGAGTTACTTCAGTGATGTTATATGCTCGAGTTCAATTTTTGAATGCTGCTACAGGTGAATTAGCATCCTACAGGTATAAAATGTGGACATTCCCCAGGATGTAGTTTGTGAGGTTTTGGGCTTTTGGGTTGGTTTGGTTGGTTTTTTTTAATCCTTTGAGTACACACTCCTCCTGTACTTAACACTGGTCCATGTAAAAGTCAAACCGTTTGAACCTAACCTTGTCTGCATGTGGGTGGTAGAGCTGGAAATGAAATTCAGGGAATTTCCCTCCTAAGAGTGGGTGTATTGCTGGGGGAGCTGCCTGTCCCCTGTACCACAGGCAGGTCTGCCTGCACCCTGAGCCGAGGCTGTGCAGGACACTGAGGCAGCGATTGCTTGCTGAAGTCTTCTCTGCCATGCTCTGGTCTGGGATGGGCTGCTGCCATCCTCACCCTGCTTTTCACTCTCCAGCCTATATCTAACCTCTCTGCACTGGTAGAGGTTTGCAGAAAGGTGGTGCAATAGAGGTTTTGTTTGGTGGTTTGGTGTTCTGAGGTTGTGTTTGTGTGTGTGGTTTGGTTTTCTTTTTTTCAATCAGTATGAGCCTTGGGTTTTGTACCATTTTGTTATGACTCTTCTAATCTCCTGGCTCCTGACTAAATTAATTAGCATTCGGTTACAGCCCATATGGCTCCATTGCTGAGGCAGCAATGACAGGGTTGTGTTGGGTTTGGGATTTTTTTCCTCCTTAGCTTAAATATTGCATTAATGGAGTCCCTGGCGTGTCTCCTGGTACCACTGTGCAGCAGCGAGATCTGCATCCAAATCTGAGGTGTTCTTATATTTATTGTATTGTTTGGCAGATTCCCATAATGGAGCATGTTAAAGAATAAGTAGTCCAGGGAAATCTAACTTGCCAACTTTGAAGCAATAATTCCTAGAACGCGATGCTGGTTACACTATTAAACCCTTTTTCTTTGCATGGAGATGCTCACTAAGGAAGGAATTGGGCAGGTGGTCAGCTCCACTTGTACAGTCAACACTCATTCATTCAAGATTACTTGAGCAGACACAAACATGCTCAAGCTGGGTCCTTGCAGACTTTCAAGATCCAGCAGGGTTTATTAACTCAGGCTCAGTGCCAAGCAAATGCAACTCTGCTGCTCCCCAACCAAGTAGGCTCTGCTGTTCTGGCATGGAGTCCAAGCTCTTAGAGCCCGCCAAGCGTGAAGGGTGTAGACCTGGGTCCAGCGCCGTTCTCGGATCTAGGAGGTCTGGAAATGCACTGCAGATATCTGACCATATGGATCAGCTTGGGTCCACCGTGGCTCATTAGATCAACAACAGTTTCAGCCCTGTTAAACTTGAGCTTGCCTCTGTATATTTTTTTTGTTGTCTTTTTATGTTATTTTTAATTTTTTTTTTTTTAAGCTCTGAGTTGTGGGAAAATTTATTAGCTCGGCCAGCCCCAGCTCAGCTAACACTTGCTGCATATGCAGCGTGGCATATAAGGAGCTTCTTGGAAGCAGAGTGAAGAGGGCACTGAGCTTGCTGAGCAGGAACCAGCTCAGGGCTAGCACTGTGTCAGAGCTCCTAGGCTCTGATCATCCTAAATTGACTTGAGTGTCTTTGTGCGGTGACTCCCAGCAGGATTTGCAGTGAAACAATGCACAAATGTTTCCATTCCTTGTTTTCTCACAGCCTTCATGAGCTGTGATAGTGGAGCACTGACCATTGCACACGGAGGAGTGCTGGATGGGTGCTGCTAGTGAGGGCTTGTGTTTTGGTTTCGCAGGGTACATAGCCCTGGTACATAGGTTGAGACTATGCATTTAATAACTGCAGTTGTCATGAAGGGTAATCTGCTTTTCTGTTTGGATTTCAAAATACCTTCTGGAAAAACTGCAGTGTGCTTGGAGTAAGTCAAAATACTTCTTAAGATGATATGCGTGATAGTCTGTGGATTGTTGCAGTACTTGAAATTAAATTTTCTCACAAAATTCACAAATGCTTGATTACTTTTTCCAAGCGAAAAGTCATACAGCTCTTTTGGGTTTCTCCATATGCAGGTGCAGCTGGGACAAGCAGATATAAAATGCCCGATCACAGAGTGCAGTGAACACCTGGATGAAACAACTGTCCTCTATAACCTGCCCCACGATGACATCATCAAGTATAAATATTTCCTGGAACTCAGCCGCATTGACTCCAGCACCAAGCCATGCCCTCAGTGCAAGCACTTTACAACCTTCCGGAGGAGAGGCCACATTCCTACCCCTGCCAAATTGGAGAACAAATACAAAGTGAGCATGGTTGCCAGGGCCTTGGGTTAGATGGTGCTGCAAAAGTTGGACAGCATTTGGTGGGCGTTAAGTGAGCTTTCTTGTATCACTGAGGCTGTGTGCAAGGTGTGATTAGGAATATGAATCTGTATTACATCGTTGATCCACTACTTAATTGATTTCTTAAAAGTTCAAGCAGTTGAACTTCAGTCTGTATTTCTTTGGCAGGTGGCGTAATTTTGTCCTGGCACACAATTTACAGTGTTTTCTTACTGACATGCAAGCAATATGGACACAAGCAGAAGAGACTGGGGAATTGATCACTATAACTGTTAATCTTAGACACACAGCTCCAGCAAAGGCAAGTTTTGCCTGAAACAGAGCAAATTAATTCTGGGCATTTACAATGTTAGGCTGTTGGCTTGCTTCTTTCTTAGAACTAGAGCTCTTGTCTGTCTTGCTTCTTGGTTTTGATTTTTTTCAGTCCCTTACCAAAGGTAATACATCATATATCACATACAGAAAACTTGAAATATGGAAAAAAAGCCCCACCACTTTTTCAGCATTTCTTTTATTAGATTTATTTATACTGTGATTTTAGAGATAAAAGGCAGGAGATTACAGTTAGATCTTCAGCAGCTCAAAAATTCTGTCTTAGTTCCAGAAGATGAAGGTTCTGTCTGCAGCATCATGCTCTGTGTTAGATTTCCATCCGGCTATTAGATTTATTGTGGTTAACTTCATGATTGAGCTGGCCTTTCCTGGACAAACCAGTTCTCCTCAGTAGGAGTTTAGATGACTGTTTAGATAGCCCTAATTACATGGGGTAAGATCCAGCCTAGTATGGAGATTAAAAGGTAGAAGGTTGTGTATCCAGTGGAGTAGAAACATTGGCAAAAGTAACTCTGAGTTACGAGCTACTTATGTAGATCTGTGCAGTCCATGAATTGCATGCCGCAGTGTGGTGGACACAACACTTTCAGATTTTTGGCATTTTATGTGGAGGTGGAGAGATTCAAAACTGCAGGTAAAATTCCTTCTGCCCACAGCCATTCTCCTTCACCCTAAGGTGTAGCCAGGCTGTACGGTCCAGGGCAGGTAGATGTTGTAATGCTTCTGCAGTGGTCTGCCTTAAAGCACCAGCAGCTGTTACTGACCCACAGTTGTGGGTGACAGGTGATGCAGCTGTTGTATCATGGGATGACAACTCTGGGGATGTTCCTCAAGGTACAAAACTGGTCGTTGTGCCCACCAGTGCTCTTCGATGCATTGAAATGCTATAGTTAAAATATTCCCACAAGTTCCCTACGTATCAGAAGGACTGGGAGGCCGTGTGATGCATGAAATAGTGCAAGCCAAAAGCACTTTGGTGCCGTGGTGATGCATTACGTGTAGCTCTGATCTGCAGAGCCCAAGTCCCCTGGGAACAGAGTCTGGCAAAACAGTGTCCTTTAAGCTGTGGCCAGGTGTGCCTGGGAGAATGTCTGGTTGATGCTGGTCAGAAATATAATTAGAAAAATGCCAGTCAGCAGCATGGACAATCATAGTCCAGGTCTTCAACCTGCTCCCTGTTATTTTCTGGCATAGGTACACTTTTAGTGACATATTTTGAGCGCAGCACAATGAGTTTTGCTGCAGGAGAAAGATTTAAAAGGAAGACTTTAAGATTGTGTATTTGTGAGTAAGTACATACTCGCGTAGCTGTGGACCATTATTATCTCAGTTTGATTAGATTCTCGCGTGACCATATGGTAACTTGTTTGTGCCTTGGATTATGGGTTCTTTGGAGGTACAGACTCATTTTCTTCTGCGCATAGCATAGGAGACTTGCATATTCACGTTCAAGCAATATAAACAGCAGTTGCACCAGAGGAATTCTGCACCAGCACTGGAAATGCTGCCTTTAGAAGAACTGAGTCATGCGTGGGGAAAGCCTACGCACAAGCTTCCGAGTAGGATCACTGCACGCGAGGGCTCAGTGCCAGTACCCTCGCCCTCCTGTACACTGCAGCAGGAAAACACTGCACAATCCAGGGGTACATTTGAACAGATACTTTTGAAATGTTATCAATGACAGTCCTAAAATTTGATATTCTATTTAATTATAAATAACTTATAAATGTGAAGAGGTAGCAAAGTTATTAGATTAATTTTCCTTACTGTAGCTGTTTTGTCTCAGCTAAACTGACCTAACCCCAGCAGTTCAGTTTGCTGTTGCTGGTTTTTGTTTTTGTGATCAAAGCCTTGGTGAGCTAAGCCTAGAAAGTTAGCTGGTACATGTGTGTTGAGAGGGAAGGAGGGGAAGAAAAGGGAAACATGTTATCCAAACCTTTCTTCTCCCATTAGTGCCACTTAGAACAACACACTACAGCAGTGTGACTAGTTAGTTTCCTATATCAAGTATTTTACATCACAAATGGATCCAGCTTTAAGGAAATACCCCTGCCCCCTCCCTCTCTTACAACCTAAATTGGAGTGTAAGATGTGGTTGTAGAAAAGATCCATTGGTCAAAGCTGATATGCCAACTGACAAAGGAAATGGGTAAAAATTGATAAATTGGTAGGCCATTGCCTATGTGTGGAACAGATACGGGTTTCACAGGGGTGAGTATGTTGGCTTGTTCTGTGAGGGGCTTTTTGTTATGTGTGGGTTTTTTTTTTTTTTTTCCCCCTCTCCTCCTCAATCCTTGGATTTCACCTGTTGTTTTAATGTCTGTTCTTTGACCTGCCATGAAGAAGCAGTTCTTGATTCTTGGACATTATTTCTGCCTTGTCAGCTTGTGAGGTTCATGATGAAGTTTTCTTGCTCACTTCTGTCAAGAGGTACACATCACATAAAAGAAGGGTTTGAGTGCTTGGCTTTGGAAATGTAAATGTTTTTTCAATGCAGCTGTTATAAACTGTCTTTTGTTTGAACTACTCAAGAGTTTCTGAAACTTGTTGCTCTAGAACTAGTAGGAATCTGCATGTGCAAATATACTGTGATAGAGTGGATCTGTGTAGTTCCTATCAATGAGTTACCTCCTTTTTGGATCAGAGTTTAACCTTGAGTAGCAGTTACCTTCACGGCTGCACATCCCTTCAGTCTGCCTTGAGCCTGAACTGCTGTGGACATGGCGATTTTTGCCAAGCTCTCCCTCTTTGCTCTCAGCTGTTCATTCCTGCCAGTTTGCTTTTGTTTGTGATCGTGTTTTGGTGTCACACTGGGAGCTGGATCAAAGATCAGCTCCAATGGGATACAAGATTTGTTTGTTTTGTTGTTGTTTATTTTCAGCTGGTACAAGAGTGGGGACAGGTTAGTGATGAGGAGGAAGCAGCTGTTTTGACTGAAGCCCATATTTATTTTGGAATGAAGTGACTGTGTAGATGTAGTTAGACACTGTAATTCATGTAATCAATTAGTTGTACAATTAATTCAGCCATCCTATTATATAGCTAGCATTCCACTAAGCATCAGAAAATCCCACTAAGCTTTTTGCAGCTTCAGGGCCTCAGAATATTTTAAATGTGCAGTTCAGTTTTGCTGTTGTCATCTCACATTGAGCAGTGGGTTTTGTTGGTGTTACCTACCAATTTGGAAAGCTTTTTTTCCTGGGACACGAAGAAAATGATGGCTAGAGTAGTTTGCAGTAAAGAAGCTAGCTAAGGAAGTGGAAAATGTTAGCCTCGAAGGTCAGTGTTTCAGAAAGCTGAGAACCAAAAGGGTTACTATGAGAAGTTGTGTAATCTTTTCTATTTCAAGGGGGACTGACCTCCAGATGGCGCAGAAGTTTGTGTATATATCCATCCTCTCAGTTCTGATTGACTGAAATGGAAGTCATAAAATAAATGGAAAAATGATTGTGTAAGGAAACACTAGATTAATGTTTTGGGGTGTTTTTCCCAGATATAGTTTGCTTTGCTGGACTATATGTTTCATTGCTTTAAATGATACGTAGATAGCATTTCTGTGTCCTAGCTATGATGATTTTGTGCACTAAGACTGAACCATAAAGCAAATCATACTTGACTCTCTTTTTTCTTCCAGAAAAGTAAAGAAAGAATGGAATAAGAATCTAAAAGACTTCTGTAATTGCCCTGTTCTGTTCCTCTTTCTTAAGCACACTGGTGTCATACTTCATCCAAGTCTGCATAGGTTTTAGGTTTTGTTTTGCAGTCACTAGTCCCAAGAAAAATAAGGTTCATAAGTACTTAAAAGAACCTACTTTTCTTTGCCTGCTTAAGGTATGTTCAGACAGTACTGAACAACAGGGAAGTCAAGTGGCCCATTCGAAACGTAAAATCTATTTACCGGTTCAGTTTTGTGTATGGTGCTGTCAGGAGTGGCAGGTGGAAGAGGAACCTGGAAACTTCAAACCTGGTAATGAAGTAGACAGTTCCCACCTAGTTCATTTCAGCTAGTCAGGGCCATTCATGATAACAAATGTTATTCTGAGTTCATGCAGTTATAGCCTCAACCTGTATTTCAGTACTTTTAAGTAGTGTATTTTGGAACATCTCATGTCAATGTGCGTGTATAAGATTAAATATATATCCCGGTAGCTGCTACATTTCTTGCAATTATATACATGCTATAATAGAAAGGTAGAGCCTGCAGTGAAATTGTGTCAGATTTTTACACACACACACAAAAAACCCCAACCTGAAGCCAAACCCACAAAACTTACCTTTTAAATTTAATTATGTTGGCATTTTGTTCAAGAAAAAAGCTTTAACTTGCAGCTTCCCAGATCTGTTGGTTTGGGTTTGTGTTTTTTAACATACGTGTTACATTTCAAATGTCTGAAAAACTTTCAGGTTGGAGAACACTCAGTTGTGGCTACACGCTTCATCTTCGGCTTGGGCGTAACAAAGACTGAGTAACACAATGGGAGGCCTGCTATAATCTGTCTTCGCAGCAGTGGGTGGCTAAGACATGCGTTATTGAAAAATGTAAATTCAAAGCTGGGGCAGGCAAGGGTGGGGAGGAAGATACAGAGATATTGGGCAGGGGACTTGCTAGTAATCTAATGTTTTCTACATATTGGTTTCTAAAGGATGTGGAAATAGATCAGTGCTCTTTGTTAGTTTGGTTAGTAGTAATAAATATGCTATTCTTTAGGTTCTTCAGAGTGGTAATTTTCCTCTTTCCTATTAACCTGTTTTTATTAAGAGGATTCATCTGTGATGAATGGAGAGATGCAGGATAGCGCATTTCTTTGGGTTTAGCATCTGGCCTAGTAGACCAACAAATCGGAGCAAGGGCACCGGTTATAATTTTGTATTGATTTTCGTTTATACTTTATCTTGACCTTAGACATTACTGTGTTCTCATGCAGAAAGTAGTAATGTTTGTCATCCACATGTTGCAGCTTTAATGTGCTGTTCCCCTATGATAAGTTTCATTTGTTGTTCTTTCCTGGTTTTGTGCTGCCTACCTGTGTCTTCAGTAATGTCACTGACAGGAAGCAAGTGATAGGTGCAGCTTTCTTCTGTGTGAGGTATCTTACTGTGTGCCTTAGGAAATATGTCTTTTTGTAGCTATAGGAAGCAGTAAGTCATACTTACAGTGGGGACAGGGTATCAGAATTTCATCCATTTTAATATTACGCTCCCTTTGAGTTTCCTTGATAGGAAGGAAATGTATGTATGCTGACACTTAAATGCACTTACAATATTTCTTTTTTACAAGGCTGGTGAGTAGTAGATGGTAACTGACTAAAATCTTAATGTGTTGTAATAAGAAGAAAATCTGTCAACTCTTTGATGCTGCTTCCCTTCTTTGCACTTTAGCCTTGTCCGCAGGCAGAGGATCATCTAGAGGGAAATGCTGTCTTATGGGTAGTGAGAAAATTGTTAATTCTCTTGATCATTAACTCCCATTCTTGCACTTGCTGATCAATAGATGTGGATTGGCATAAAAAGGTGAGCTGAAGTGACACGCTGAGCAGCACGTCATATGGTCCATCATTAAAGGTAAAATACTTGGTTAAACAGTGCTGCACAGAGGTACATCACGTCATACAGGTGAAGCTAAGACTTAGTGCTGCAGTGTGAAGAAACATTCTGCAGGTGTAGTTAAAGACAACCACTGAAATAGTGGTCAGCTAGGGTCTTAAAAATGCTCAGCTTGAGCCATTGTGTTTGTTAGATTTTTTTTTTTTTAAATGTGAACCATTAAAGACAATCAATGCTATTTCTGTGTATAGAACTCTAGGAATAGTATTAAGGGTAGCAGATGGCTTCATTTCTCAGTTACCTATCAGAGATCAGATCAGCTTTAGCATGCTAGTAGTGACGGATGTAGGAATTGCACATACAAATAATTTTTGGCTGCCCCCCAGCAAAATACTTAAGGGAGGTCAGAGGGCCTACTCTGGACTCTAAACTGGAGTGGAGGCAGCACACCACCAGTCTGAGCAGAGGGCACAGCAACTGGGGTGGGAGTGAGGACTTTGGAAATACGTTCTGGGAGCTTCACATGTGGCTACACCCTAAGGTGTAGTTTCCTGAACAGCACCCCGCACCACGCATGGCCAGCACAGACACACCTGTAGTTTGGTGGTGAACCAGGTCAGGACGCAGATACAACCTTGTCTGGGTGGTTGAATTCCTCAGTCCCTTGCTCAGCTGGTACAGAACCAGGCATGGCCTGCAGCTGTGGCTGGTGGTCAGGGCTCAGCAGTGGCTTCAGAGCTTGGGCCTTCCCGTCTTTCAGGCTGAGACGCTTCGCTGCCAGACACAGCAGAAGTGAGTCTAGATGGGCCTGTGTCTGATGTGGCTTTTAGTTCTTGCTTTCCTTAGTTACGATCCAGGTAGGAGGCCTGTCTTTCATCAGATAAGCACCTGCAATGTCCCTCTATTGCTTCTACAAATACAGTAGCTGCCATAGCTCTTTCCAGAAGAATAGCCAGGCTCTGGAGGAAGACATGAGGACGATGGTACCTGTTTGACGCAATGATTTAAAGCCCAGGGAGTGGGAAAAATAGATTCTTTCTCAATTTAAGGAGCTGGGCTTGTGGTTTTTGACGTTAGGTGTGGGCTGTAGCAAGAGGGCTGTTTGGCACAGCCTCGGCTCACCCTTAGCAGTCGAGCAAAAGGAGGTGCCTGATTTCCAGGTGGTATTTGTGGCCCTTGGTTGAGACCCTTGCTCTTGGCCTCTTTTCCCTGGACCATTTCTAATATAAGCTTCATAACCTGTTCTGGGCTCTATGGAGAGCTCCTTCAGAGGACCAGGGATGACTCCCCAGTGATCGCCTCGGCAGTGAAGTTTATAACCAGGAGATCCACTGCACTGAAAACTGGCTGCTAAGTTTTAGGTGACCTCATGCATATATTGGAGGCAACTGAATAAGCTTCCTGGATTTTGCCTTTTGGCGTTTGAGCCACGCAGTGAATTTGGGCAGCAGTTCCTGTGCTTCAACCAAGTTGCTCGTGCTTTGTTTGACTGGGGCCTTTCCTGGCTTTAGCAGTTAGCTCTGTATTTTCTCTCTTTTAAAAAAAAGAAACAGAAAAAGGTAGCTTCCACAATTTCTTGTGTTTTTAAAAGGGGCATTTTAAAAGATGTTAGACCTTTCCTGGGCCGCTGCTTTCTTAAATTAAGAGCAGTGGTTTTAAAACCAGCTTTCCAGCTGGGTCAGTGCCCAGCTTGCAAATGTGTGGTGTTTTCTCATTTATACAGATCCAGTGTCCATCTTGCCAATTTGTCTGGTGTTTCAAGTGCCACTCTCCCTGGCATGAAGGCGTTAACTGCAAAGAATACAAGAAGGGAGACAAGCTCTTGCGTCACTGGGCCAACGAAATCGAACACGGGCAGAGGAATGCCCAGAAGTGTCCAAAATGCAAGGTGAGCTGCTCTCCCTTGGCTTGCAGGTAGTGGTTTCAAACTCTTTAAATATGTATTTAACGTAAATATTTGTAGGTTCTGCTTGGTATTGGAAATGGAATTCACGCTTGCTGTGCAGATTCTTTGTCAGTGACCCATTGAGAAAAAGAGGTCAGATGTTTTAACTTGCTGGTTCCTGCACTGATTCTGCAGAATCTCTGCACATAAAGGACACATTAGCGAAACCCTGATAGGAGATGCTAGTGTATGTTTATAGCGAATGTGTGTTATAGCATAAATTTTTCCTAAAAATAAGGCTTTAAAGCTTTACAGGAATATAAAGCTTTAGAGAAATATCATGCCCTTTGTTAGGTTTTCCAAAGAGCTTGAGTGAATTGAGTTTGAGTAAGGCAGAAAGTACTCTGTCAGCAAGGTAATTAGGACAGACTTTAAGATTTGGCGAAACCAGAGGTTTTGTAGGATTAAATGTCAGTTATCTACAAGCCTTTCCCATAAATCAGTTTAATTTTCAACAGACTGAAGTGCAGTCCCATGCCCTAAAAATGTCATTAGTCACTTTCAGGATAGGAGATATTTCCCACTACTCAAATGAGATGCAACAGCCCCGCACACCCCTGCCCTGGCTGTCCTTTATGAAGGTGGCCGTTGTGTGTGCTCGCGTTTTTTTTTGCAGCACTTCTTTCCAGCAACTGATAGAGAAGTAAGTCTAAACCTTGAGAGCACCATGGTGGTGTAAGTCTGTTTTTTTGAAAGGGGGCACCTAACCTGAACTTATCTATTGCTCTACATCTGCTTCATGGAGAGAACAAGTAAGGAAACTGGAACGCTTGGTAGGAAATAAATATTGAATGGGAAGATTTACTTCTAAAGTTCCAAAGTATACTCTTGTCACACTTTGAGCCCTACCCTGTGCAACTAAGAAAATGTTTATTGGTTTATTAAGTGTCTTAATTTGGTTTTGGAAAAAAACTGCCTGTGATGCTATAACTTGAAACTGAAAGATTTCAAAACACTGAGCAAAACTTGGGAAGCTGTGAAATCAGCAGTCGGTTGTTTGCCCTTCCTCCTGCACACACGTCACCTCTGAACAGTTTTACTAGCTTGCTGTTTGGCAAGGCTTGATAGGCTTGAGACAGTTCTAAAAAAATTCACGTTCTGGGAAGTCTTACAGTAAAATGGTTTTAGAAACTTTGTTCCTTTTGGAGTGGGAAGAAGTAGCTGTTTTGATTTGATTTTTTTTTTTTGATTCTTTGACTTGTTTCCAGACTCAGATTTTATGACAACGTGTATGATGTAACTATTAAAATAAGTTGTCCGAAAAAAAAGAAAAAGGCAAAGTAGTATGAATGTGGAAAAGCAGGGAAGAAGACAACTGCTAGCTGGAAAGAGAAAGGAGCTAAAACTGCTAACCCTAACGTGTTTATCCTCACTAAGTTTTAAGTTTAAACGTCAAATGTACAACTCTTTGCCATCTTCAAAAGAAGAGGTTGGACTCTTGAAACTTATGCAGGTTAGGTCACTAATTTTGAAACCTGGAATTGTGTGAGTTTTGCTATTGATTCCAAAAAGACTTTACGTTTCTCTTCATAATCAAAAGAAAATAAAATCCTCTCTGTGGTGGGAGGCAGTATGGAAAGTTACAAAACTGGCACAGAAGAACAGCCTGTGTTAACAAGGTAACAGGGTATTACAAGGGAATATCGAAGAGGGGAGTTCAACTTTTTTATAAACTGTATTGCTACCCCCGCTCCTGATCGTTTTCAGCAGAGATGAAAAAAGTTCTTGCCTACAACCTCCAAAATGTTTATATCAACTCATTGTTTATTTTTAAGTCAGATCTACAACCAGGAAGTAATCGAAAGAACTTCTTCGCCAGCGGTTAGTCCCACTGTGCTTTTGCTTTATCGGATTTTTTTTTTCCATAATCCTTTAATGAGTAGTTATAAAATCAACACCTTATGCAGCATTCTTTATCTTCCTCACAGCATTAATAGATGTCTGGGCACACGGGCATAAACATACCAACAGTTAACAATTTGAGGTCAGGGAATTGAAGCTAATGCTTTCTCTGCCTCTGTCTTCAGCCATCCCCCCCAAAAAAAACCTATATAAAATAACATTCAATCAGATGACCATCCTATTGACAAATAAAATGAGAAAAAAGTGACAGAAAAAACATAGTTTGTGACATACTATTTGATTTATCCTTGTTCTAGATCCGCATAGGCAGTGTTTCAGGTGACAACATACTTAATTTTGATATGTGCATATGTTCTATTGAAAGAACCTTTTTCATGTTTCGGTTAAAAATTTGCAGCAGCCAAAATTGACAAACAGATTGAGGGAAGAGTCCAGAATAAATTGTGAGTGTCAAGATATTTGTATTTAACCTTTATTAAAACTGAAGATACCAGAAATTAAAGGTAGAAACTTCAGTAGAGGTAGAATACTGAGTTAACGTGAAATTACCGGTAACTTCCAAAGTGCGATACTAATTACAGTGTAAACTGTGACCATACTTTACAGACATCTTCTGGAGGCAAGTGTACCTACACACAAACATATATACATTCACTTTTTAAGTAGCTCTACCACCGAGAAGTAGAGTACACAATTATCTTGTCTGGGCGCGCAGGTGAGAAAACGGGAGAACTCTTGCGCTGTGTTTGTATGTAGGCAGATCCTTAGGCAAGTATTCACAAGTTTTTCAGTGATTTTGGTAAGTGCTTTGGAAGAACATAATCCTATGTAATGTGAATACTAGCGGGCACTGTTAAATAAGCTTCAACTTCATTCCTTTTTCCTGTAGGTGTACACAGCCTTAATGCATCTAATAGCAACAGCTTATATTTACCCAATCTTTCTGAAGATATGCTTGCATAAGCAAATAAAAATATTACACACTGTCAGAATACATAACTGTAGATTCATGTTGTGACTATGTATCAGTAGTGAAATATTACAAAATTTATTTTTTCAACTGTATCTTAATTAATTTTGGCCTTTTGGTTTTTAATAGAGCCTTTTCCAAATTTATTATACGCTGTTTTGAGAAACTCAACATAGCCCATTTTTCTCAGCAAGACTTGTCAAAAAAGTGCTGGTCTTGTTCTAGAGGGAGCTGGCTAATGGGTGCAAAATTGATGCATATTATTAGATGTCTTTTCATATAATATATAACCTTATTTGTCTTTCCCACTACTGTTTTAGGGGTGTATTTTTTACAATTTCCTGTGACAATGTTTTTGCATCAAAATGCCTTTTTTCCATAAGTGTTTTTACAGGGTAGCAAACCGAGGATGTACTTCATGTATGTGCTCTTACCACAGATTTCAATGACAATGCTGTCTGGGGAAACAGCAAACAGCAGCTCTAGCACAGAAGGCTTCCAACAGAAGGAGGAACTTAAGTAAACAAGGATGTCCATGCAAGTCAAGGAGTTACGCTTCCTATCTGTGGATTCACTGCTCTGATTAGTATGAGTGTTAGTAAATAACTTGGGACATAGTTTTTTGAAGGTGCTCTGTGGATTATTTCTCATCCTCTGGAGGGAGGAGAGTCCTTGCTTGAATCAGGAGGAGTGGAGGATAAATAGCCACTCATCCTCAGATCTCTTGGAAACGATTTCCCTGGAAGACTTCTGCGAGAGGGCAAGTAGCCTACAGAGGGAGAGTAAAGCCAGGGTCTGAAATAGCCACTGTGCTACTTCACTTGTTTCTTTAAGACTCTGCGTGCTGTGTGCTTTGCCACTGATGTGCAGTTTTCACCCTTCTCGTTCTGGGAACCATTCTTGGGTTTCTGAATGACTAAACCTTTCCCTGTAAGGTGAGGGTCCATCTTTGTGCTGGAGCAGGCTCTGAGTGCAGGATGGAGCCAGTAACGCTGACTGAATGCTTGGAGGCAGAAACTGGGCTTGCAGTTGTTGGCTCTCACTTGCCCCCTCCAGCCCCACCGTGCTGCTGGGGGGAGCCTGGAGTTACGTGGCACCAAACCCCACATGGCAACAGCTAACTATAGCAAGCTGCATTCCCGGCCCGTGCATCCCCTGGCTGCCTGCTGCGTGCCACGGTATCGACAACGGAGCGGGAACACTTGTGGTGATATCTGACCCATCACTGATCGCTCTCCCAACCTATAGATTTGTAATCCATCTCTGTCGGTGGATTATCCTGAGGGAAGGCAGGCATGTCCATCTGAACCAGAGCTGAAGTTGATCTGGTAAGATGTCATGTCTTGGGCTTGAAAGCAGCCTGACTGAATCGTACCGACTTCATCTGGCACTGTCAGTGTGTGCAGATGATGGGGAGTCCCAGCCCCACATCGAAGGTTGTGGGGTGTTCTTATTTCATGTTTCAATGAAGGCTCTCCTCACTAAAAAAGGGAAGTTTGTTTTTTTTTTCAACAAAAACCAGAGACAAGTACAACCAGTTGTGCCAAACTTGCAGCTTTTGAAGACCGCTATTATGTGCAGATAAGTATTCACTAAAAATTTTGTAATGCTTTCTGAAGAAACGGAGGTAAAGTACATGTCACTGCAATGTGTCCGTAAGAGAAGAAATCCTCTATCAACTTCTTTGTTTGACGAGGACACTGTGTTCAGAGGATTTAGAGCAGAAACAAGTAGATTCAAATGTGATTTGGAGCAGTGCCTGGCTCACTGGAGCTGGGATGCTTCTAGGAAAGCGTGGGCAGAAGGATGGCAGGCAGTGCCCAGGAGATGGGTATTTCTGAAAGTATTGATGGTAGAATGTACATCTCTGTTGCCAGCAGCTCCTTGAAGTTCTTATTACCAGAGCAAATAAGTTAATTTTTGAAATGTGAAGTTGCATCTAGGGTTTGTAGGCTTCAGGCTTGCACAGATTTTCAGTTAGGATGGATGGTAACTTAAAAGGTTGGGTTGGTAAGTCAGAGAAGAGAAAGGAGAATTCAACAGTCTTGATTCAAAAAGAAAAGAAAACAACTAGTTAATTCTCGTTATTGTCATAAGATCTTATTCCCTCATTTACATTTTTAGGATGGAGTTATGTCACTGAATCAGCAGATAAGGAAAGGTACCTCTGAAATGACAAAATTCTGTATAGTTGCGGTCTGAATTTCAGTCCCCCAAAAAACTAATTGGAATTAAATTCTAAAGTTAATTTGTTAAAATGCATTAAGCCACTAGTAAAATTCCTTGATTTCAGTTTGTCTCTTAGGAATTAAATAAACTATGGCTCCATGAGTAGGGTCAACATTTTTTTTAATATGAAACCTGAAAAGTAAAAGTAGGAGTCACACTGACAATATCCCTTTTGGGAGAAAATAGTGTATACCTTCAGAAGTTAGGCTTAAGTTAGTGTAATATTGGGGGTAGACTTTTTTTTCCACTTTCCTGGTAGTCAGTGCTTAAATGTGACAGTTTTGAAGCCAGGTGGCTTATAAAGCTTGTCAGAGATGGTATTTTTTCAGATACTTCTGGAAAGCAGGGCACGTCTGATACCACAGCCTTCCTCAGGGAAGGGCGATAAGTGCTTGCCCAGTCTATTTGCATCCCCTTCCATGGGATGAATGCAAGTCCACTAGAATACTTGCCCACTAGGAAGGAATGTTTTGTAGTCCAATCCTCTTTTGTGAATGTCTTTCCCCTCTTCTGTGTAAAAGAAGCATTTGAAAGTACAGAAATATGAATTCGGAGATCACTGCTGTTGGCACAGGGATGTTGGCAGGTGTACCTGGAACTACTGCTGACTACATCTGCTCTGGAATATTTTGCCAGAAGTATTGGTGGTGGAAAACATCACTTCGTTAGGTGTGTAAAGCGCCAGTTTCAGTAGCTGTTCAGGTGAGCAAGATTTCTGAGATCCCAGATAAACCCTGGTCAGCACCCGAGAACAAGCACACTTCACTCTCTCAAGAATGTTGGGTACCGCAGGAGTTCCAAGCCTCTGGAGGTGAGAGGCTTCAGTTGTACCTGAGCTTTCAGCATCTGTGGTGCTTGTCGGGCTGCTGAGCGGTGAGGCCTTGTACCTCCCTGCAAAAGAGGTACATGTAGATATGGATAAGGATTTCAGGAGGCATTCATGTGTCAGTCACAAGTTTTGACAAATAAAATTGCAGTGAAAGGGAGGGGAAATAAATATTTCCAGGGTAAGGGTGGTGAAGCATGGGACAAATTGATCAGAGAGATTGACGTACCCATACCTGGAGATTTTTAAAATCTAGTGGGATGAGGCCTGGAGCAATCTGATCTGACTTTGAAGTTAGCCCAGCTTGGAGCTAGGGATTAAAATAGATGACCTCCGAGGGTCACTTCCAACCTCAATTATTAGGTGATTTTATCTGCCGTACCGCTGTGGAGCATGGTCTCAGGATGAGGGGGACAGACGTCTTTAGCAGTTCTGTAAGCTAGGAAAAGTGTGTTTACCACACTGTTAATAGAATTCGTGTTTGACAACATTTGGAAGTAGCTGTGTTGTCGTAGTTGATTTAGTGAAATACTCAGCCCCAGGACTGCTCTCTCCCCTGAGACTCTTAGTACCGTTAACTAAAACTGAAGCCTTACGAAATACGTGCAAAATAGGTAAATGTACCAGTTTTGCAGGAGAGTACATGGAGGTACAGGAATGGAGCTATTTATGCAGGCAGTCAGAAGAAAGATGGATGTAGACCCTAGGCAGCCCAGCTCCGTGCTGTACATGTGGGTATTATGAAAGCTCGGTGTAACTCTTTTATATGGTTTGTGACATTTTTGATTTTTTTTAACCAAAAAAAAAAAATCCAATATTTTTCAGATCATTTACTCTAACAGTAGAGCCTTTCTGATGTTTATTACAAAATGCCAAATGGATTTGTGATGGCAGTGGGAAAGGGAGTGGGGCCGCAAGTGGCGTAGGAGGTAATCCCATCTGTGAGGGGTCAAACAGAGTTCATAACTATATTTGCTTTAATTGATATTATTGCTTTTATTTTTAATAATGTTTTATTTTTAATAATGTTTTATTTTTAATACTACTTTGGTAATCACATTCTCATCTGATACAAAGAGTGATTAAACAAAGGAGCGTTACATAGAAAATTATGGGAACTGTGAATCAACTAGAGCTCACGTTTAGTGCTCTGAAGTGTGCCTTCGAAAACCGTTATTGTCTTGGGACGGCTGCCGTGTTAATGCAGATGGTGAGTCAAGCAGGGGGCTGCTCACGGTGTCTTTTCATCTGACGCATGGACTGCACTGGGTAGTACCTGTTTTTCTGCGCTTAGGGAAGGGGGGAAAAAATCCTTTTTCTCTTCTGCTCCTACAGATCCACATCCAGAGAACAGAAGGGTGTGACCACATGACCTGTTCGCAGTGCAACACTAATTTCTGTTACCGCTGTGGGGAGAGATACCGCCAGCTCCGGTTCTTCGGAGATCACACCTCAAACCTCAGTATCTTTGGATGCAAATACCGCTACCTCCCCGAGAGACCACATTTAAGGAGATTAGTGCGAGGCTCTGTCTGTGGTGAGTGGATAAATGTTCCTTGTGGAGAGCTCCACAGTGAGGTGATTGGGTTGGAGAGGCCAATAATAGTTAAATAAAAACAACTGGTTTAAAGTATCGGATGGGCAGCCTGTTGTTTAGTTATTTAACAAGCCACCTTTTACATATATTTAGATATATAGTATTTGCACTTCCTGGACTGTAGATGAATAAGTATTACGGCTTCTTCTGGTAGCTTCTGTTTCCTAAGCCTTTTTTAATAGTATGGAAGCAGGCTGGAAAAATACTGTCAGTATGCCTGTTGCTGGCTGTGGTCATTCTTCTAAAAGCATATAGGCAAAGTGAATCGAAGCAGGAAGCTGTGATGAACCTCTGTGTCAAGGATTTGTTTGAATAAAGCGTTGTTTGGGTTTGAACCTGACCTGGTTTTGGAAAACAAATTAGTCAGGTTTGCCTAGTTAAATAGGAGGACATGTATCTTTTAACTGTTAGTTTTGGTTCCGATAAAATCCAGCTTAAACCAAAACACAACTATATACATAACTTCTCGCGTGAATAGAATGCCAAAAGCTAGACTCTTCTATTTAAAAAAAAAAAAAAGGCACTTCTAATTTGTTTTTCAATCAGGTATATATGTATCTCAGTCTTAGAAGCAAAAGAAAAATAATGAAGTAGATTATTCCATTATGTCGTACCTGGCATATACATTAACTTTAGTCGCTGTAGTGAGTTTACAGCATGAAAAGCTATCTATAACATTATAGAAAATAGTTGTATCGGGTGTCAGAAATCAGGGACCTATTAAGGAAAATGTGACCTTTGGTACTTTGAAATAGGGCATAGAAATGGGAGATAACTCGGAATTCACCTAGCATAAGGAAATACTTTAAGCTTATCAATTGGTGATGAGGTAAAGGTAAGAGGCTGAATGTGTGGAAATAGCAGTCAGGAGACGTGCAGTGAAAACAGTACTCCTGAGCCAAACATGTTCCAGTAAAAAAAAAGGGGATTTCCATTTTCGAGTACAAGAGTTGGCACCAGGACCGCAGGCCTGGTAGGAAGAATGCTGATCATGCTGATCTGTGAAGTTGTGAGAGACTCGAAAACCTGGAATGCTTCTTTAACAGGTGGACAACAGTAAGTCATCCAGGCCCATTAGTTTGACCTCAGGAATTTTCAAGGCTTTACAACAAACTTTGGGAGGTCAATTAAAGATACAGAAATAAATAGGAAAGTGGATACAAATTCAAAATGCTTGGATGTGCCTATTCTGATACATTTTGTAGAGAAATTCCAACATGTGAGAAGATCTAGTGTAAATTAAAGACAATGCTGGCACTAGAGCACGTGGGTATAAACTGTTCATTAATATTAAGCTTAAAATTTGAGGGCCATTTCAAAATAAAAGCTGCAATGGCAATGTAAGCTATTTTAAAATGGATCTTAGTAAATTTGGTGGAATTTAGTATCTGTGATACAGCAAGAGGTTGTGCTCAGAGACGTTATCAGTTCTGTGCTGCTCACATGTGGAATCATGGGTAATGTTATTCCAAGATTAATCCTTCTAGGTACAATTAATATACAAATACAAGTGTTTCTTATTGAAACATAGATTGGCCAAAAATGACATTGTCTTCGTTTTTGCAGTGGTTTACATGAAAGGTATCTGAATATGCAGTTGGCATGATTTAATGCCACATACAGAGTCTGAAATACAGGTGCACATACTGCGTGTGCATAACTACAATTAAAATCAGTTTCTATTTTCCCTGTGGTTTTTAGGAAACAATAACGCACAACCTTTTTCCTCTTAAAAAGAAATAGCTTTTACTAGTAAAAGAAAATCAGTTTATTTGCAAACAGTGACTTGGAGGCAGTAAAGAATTGTGGAAGCGCATACAGTGGTGAACTTGTGTATGCTCACAGGTGTAACAAGGCACACATAGAGAAGGTATAAGGCAGTTTACTTCCATTTCCTGTTCACGCGTGTATCCACCATTTGCCTTCATTAGTAAACCAAGAAAGATTAGCAAAGCTTAATGCCTCAGCTTTAACTTCTCAGTTTCCTGTTAAAAATTTCTCTCCAGGACTACCTCTGTCATATAGTGTTGTTATCCACAGGAACGGTGGTGTGGACAGAGGCAGAGCTAGCTGAACCTGCCAGCACATGTAGTAATTGCCTCATTTTTACAATGCCTTAACACCCAAGTTGACAGTGAATCAAAGAATTCTGCATTGATACCAGTGACCCTAAATCCCTCAGTCATCTCTAGAGCTCTATATTTTAATATTGATCTTGATATAATCTATGAATAACTACCAAAATACTCCAGGGCCCTAACAGAATTCATGCTTGGGGAAAAAAAAAGTTTACAAAATTTACGTCAGATTAGGATGTAAGATTCAGCTCGCTGCTCTTCCTCCATTGGATTGGATTTTAGCTGTGGTTGACCTATGTGAGCCAGTCTTGATTTGATTGATTTTGATTTATTTCAGCTTTTTGCCACAAATGCGCACATGGGCATGCACACTCTTTTTAAGAAATAATTCTCACGTGTAAAGTTGTGTAGTGAGTTTGTCCCTAACAGTGCTTGATCAGAAATGAGATCTCACTTGCTGCGTGTTTCCAGTAATCTTTGTTTTATACTTTTCCTTAGTTAAGGTCCTTATCTGTACTTTTGATTAATAATGATCAATAGATGTATCCTTCACCAGTTTATACAGTTCTTAAATTATTGATAGCTTTGTCTTGCACATTATCTTTGGTAGAGGCTGCAGGATTTCACTGTGTAGGATTCATTGCATTGTTTAGAGAAATTATTTTCATCCTTCTGTTGTATGTTTTCGTGATTTTTATTTTTTCATAGATTGCTGATAATTTTGTTAGTTACTTCTTTGATGATAAAACTGAGTAAATAACAGCAGCTTTACTCTCTCATATATTTTTCTTTGGTGGACCCTCCATCAGATTCTTCTTTGTCATGATCTTTGATATTTTTTTGTTGCTTTGTTTTGAACCGAAGCTTCCTACTTGTAACCATTTCAGATCAAGCTGAAAAATTGAGTAATGTTTAATTCCAGTCAGAGATCACACCTAGGCTCAGAAGTGCCCTGGTAGCTAGAACTGTAAGCATTTAAGGGGTTACCAGGCAAGAGTGTAGTGTTATCCTCAGCAAGTGTTACTGTATGTTCTGAGAGTCAGCAGAAGGCTTTAGAAAGGGTAGCAGAGAAATGGGCCATTAGAAGCGTAGTCTCCAAATTTAAGTAACGTGTAGCAAGAAATAAGGGTTGGCTTTCCTTTAGTGAAACAGGTCTGCCACTTAGCGAAGTAGTGGAATCTAAAAGGGCTTGGCTGTCAGTGGGAGAGTGGTGAGGAGTTCCTAGATGTATTTTCTTCTCTGATCCCCCTCAGCTATGGAGAGGAAATACTTACTTAAGCAAATGTGGCGATTTTGTAGTGAAGGCTCTTTGGCTTTTTTCCACCAAATCTGGGCAGGCGAGGTGTGTAGAAAGGAAAGAAGACTTCACGGCAGGCTGTCATGGCTTCTGTCGAGAAGTAAATGTTTGTGCCTGCAATCACACAGTGTTCTGTAGTAAAAATAAGGAAAAAACCCACTGATGGCATCATTAATTCAAACACGCTTTGATTTGTAAATGAATGGGTTTGCAAAGGTAATAGAAATCGCAGGGAGAAGAAAATAAACTGGGAGCAGAAACCGGGTTTGAATTTGGTGACGTTTCTCTCCAGTCTTCAGCCTTGTTTTTTAGACAAACTTTGTGACCAGTACACTGAGGTGAAATTGCTTTTATCCTTCAGTCCCAGCAAACTCAGAGATTTCATTCTCACAGCAATTACTTGGCTGAGTTTTCGAAGGCAGGGTGTTTGGCTCTAACTAGAGGTAGTGATGAATTGCACAGAGAGGACAAACATGTTTGGCTGTCTGAAACGATGTACCTAAGATGCCAGTTCGGTACCACCTGAATTCAGGTGGGTGAATTATACTCGTTTGGTAGGTATGCCATGGATTTGTAACAGGATGCACCATGTTAACGATGCTCTAAAATCAATTACTTTTTGCATGGTAAACAGCATTTCAGATAGGATTCTGAAAGCAGCCTGTTTTCAGATCCGACTGTCGTGCGCTGCTGTCCCAAGGCAGAGTGCAAGATTCACTTCATGCATGGCTTTCAGCAGCGCAGAAGGAAGCAGGTGTTTCTAGCATCCAACCTTCATTAGCAACTTTATCACTTAAGTCAGTCTGATTTCTAAGAAGTCTCCTATGTACACTTGACAGGACTCATGAAAAACAGACGAAAACTTGTATTAGAACTTAAATCTACGTAGACATGCCTGTTTTGATTTGAAAGTGGATGTTTTTAGTGGCTCTGTTGCTTAAACATATAATGATGTTTAGACTTGGAAGGCAAAACTTTGTTTCTCATACACTTGTGATTAAATCTGTTTTCTAAAATCAGTATATTAATTTTTTTACATGGCAAAAGAATTCTCTAAGGATTTGTGGGGCTTTGTATATATTACCCTAAAACCCGTGACCAAACCCCAAGTTACGCAAGGGAAAAATATTCCCTGTGTCCTGAACTTTTCGTCATTTTGCAGAAGAATACCATTCTCTGTGTCACAAGTAATGCAGCCTCTCTGAGACACCTGCAAATACAGGCATTAAATTACCATGGATGTCTAAATCTTCATGCTGAATAACCCAGTAGAGAAATTGTTTGCCATTAATTTAAGTAGCATTGTAAAAATTCTTAGGCTCGTTCTGTTTACGACGTTTCTCTTGACGATATGCTTAGACACTAGCTTCGAACATGACCAAAGTGGCGATCATAACCTACAGCTGAGTTCAGAATGCGGGCTCATGACCCGAGATTTTATTCAGCTCAGAGGCTTTTTTTACACTTGCTCTTTCTGCTGCTGGATTTGGAGCTAACAGTCCTTGGACAGTGGATCTTTGGGAAGTTTAGTGCCTGCAGCAAACACCCTTAGTGTCAGCAGCATTTCTTGGTGTGTCACAATTCTGTCTGTGATTAAAACCCTCGTAATCCTTCACGCTGCGGCAAACGATGTGTGTCTGACGGGAATTGGATACAAATTAATGTTCAATTCAGAGGTGTGAAATGGAGGATTTTAATTGTTTCCTACAATGCTGATAAAGATTGGAGTTAAGGTACATACCTGCTGCTTTGCAGTGATTGCTCCCGTTTGTACTCTTATTGATGGTAACTTGTGCAAGTCTCGTTCACCTCGTGTTAACTTGTTCCTTAATTTTAGTTTATAAAGGTAAAGAAAGGCCAAGGATTCAAATGTGGTAGATATATAAGGAGAAAAGGCGTTTTGTTTTGGTTTTAAAGCTTAACCTTTAGAAAGAATGCATCGATAGCCAAAAGAAATTGTCCCATGACGATGAACTGTCATTCTGTCCTCTAAGATCTTGGAACTACACAGTGCTCATTACTTCTGCCTGTGAGTATGAAGTTAAGAGGCATTTGTGCTTTATTTCAGGTCTGAGTTATTGTCAAATGCGAGGAAACAAGTCTTAAACTGAATTAGCTTAGGAACTGTTCTTTGTGTCTGCGAAAAAATTACTCCAGTCAAAAGCTAGCCTAGCCCTGTCTGCAGACTCTGTTTTTGTGCACTTGCTCACCAATCCGGTGGTTTAAGTTCTTAGTAATTTTGGTACTAAACACCATTTTCTAACATTCCAATTACATGGTTATTAATAGAGATAGTTCATACCTTAAAACAATCTTTTTATAATCTTTACTTTGAAAGTGTTAAAGGCTCTGGTAGTGTGTTTAATTGCTCGGTTTGGGAGTTTTCTTGAGGTTTTCCATCACCCTACACTTCTCCTGTCTACACTTGAGTAATTCATTTGACAGCTGCTGTGTGTATAGAATGCAGCACAGTGGTGTCTCGAGAAGGTCTGCCGTTACGATGCCTAGCAACTAGAATGACACCAATAACACTTGCCAAATTTCTTCTTCTAGGAATTAATGTTTCCCACCCACCACCCTGCTATGAAATTTAAAAGCGATCAAAACAGAGCACGTAAAGGACTGATTCACTGAACTGCTGTAAATATTTCCAGAACATCTCATTTTTCCTTCAGGCTGCCCAAACGTAGCGGCTCAGGTTATGGAGACGTTTACATCATTACTGAATGAAGTAATGATTTACTGAAATCTGGTAGTTCCAGTATATTTGAGAGAGGTGATGAACTCGATTTTCCTCCCTTTCTAGAGGTGATCTTTCGAAGACGTGCTTAACCTGGGGAATGGCTTCATTTTGACTCCCAGAGCAGGCTGCGGGTGTGCCAGCAAAAACGCCCACCCTGCTGCGTTTCCAGACAGTGGAGGGCAGGGGACACCTTGGACCCAACCGCTCAGCCGACACTGCTGCCGGGCAGATTCTGCCGTTGGGTTGAATGCATGCAACACAAAGCTAACTTGGATTCGGAGTTCAGCTTCAACGTCCGGGCTTTGGAAGGAGCCCTGCCTCCCCTCCCTTCACTTCTACAGGCGGCAGGCTGACTGGGGGCAAAGCCTCTGAGCACGCTTTATTTGTTCCTCGCCCTATGCCCTGGCCGGTGTGCTGCTCAGCCTCGCTGCCTTCCCCGTGCGAGAGCAGCAACGCGCCCTTTGGAATGCGGGTCCAAAATAGAGGCTTCAACGTCCGGGCTTTGGAAGGAGCCCTGCCTCCCCTCCCTTCACTTCTACAGGCGGCAGGCTGACTGGGGGCAAAGCCTCTGAGCACGCTTTATTTGTTCCTCGCCCTATGCCCTGGCCGGTGTGCTGCTCAGCCTCGCTGCCTTCCCCGTGCGAGAGCAGCAACGCGCCCTTTGGAATGCGGGTCCAAAATAGAG